CCCCAAAACCCCAAAACCCCAAAACCCCAAAACCCCAATTAGCTTAGAATATATTGGATATACAATTATTACTCACCCTCTTCATCTGTCTTCTGTCTTTTATGAGGATTGTAGTAGGCAACCTCTTCTGGAAGTCTGAAAGTCACGCAGTACATTGAACTAACTCTGGATACTTCTCGGTTGTTGTGAAATTTAAGGATTTTGTCTTCAGTAAAGCCTCCACAATCTTTGAAAACTTCGGCAATCCTAGTTGTAAAGTATTCCTTAGCTTTGTCTGTATCCTGATTTTCTGTTGTGAATCCATAAACGTGGATTAAAGGGAGGCCTTCTCCTTTGCTTACTCCTTCAGGCTTGTCTTCTTTGTTCCAGATTTCAGGATTAGCGTTATTAAATATTCCAATGAAGGCATCGAGAAACTCAACTGCATCCATGGGGAGATTCATGTAAACATGATCAAAATGAAGAAAAGAGCGGTTTTTAATAGGTGTGATAGTTTCATTCTCTGGTACCAACTTCTCTTCCTCTTCTTTTTGAGAAGGAGCTCTTTTCTTTTTCTTGTTCTTGGGATCTACTGGTTCTTTCTTCTCTTCTTCTTTATTGAGCACATCTTGGTTGTTGGATTCTAGAACACAATGCTTGACGAATTCCCGTCCATCCATACAAAAGGGGAGGACCAAATCAGCTACCTTGTTCTGAACAATATTTCTTCTTAAGTAATGGTAGCAATCTGGGTTAAGATCATTTGCAAGGACTTTTATTCCCTTATCTTTAGCAGCTCTTACAGAAAGTGGGCCGATTCCGCAGAACATGTCACAAACGACATCACCAGGTTTGAAGAACTCTTCGATAACTCTGGATCTCTCTTGTCCAAGTCTTGAGCACCAGTAAACTTTTGTTATATCAACATCAAACTTGATGCCATCTTCATTTTGAGTTGTCTCGAATGTTTCTTCCCCTGCTAAGACTTCGAAGTTAAATGTTCTGAAAGTGTTCTCGATATGGCCAACTTTAGTGAGCACAGTCTTTATCGCAGGGTTCTTCTCCAAGAAGATCTGTCCAATGTCATACTTATAAAGCATTTGCTCTTCGTTGAGGTTCATGTGGGCGATATGGCCAACGGATTCGAATCCTGTAGGGATAACAACTCCTTCCGGAATGACTTTTTCCAAGGCTTCATGGCATGAAATATTGGCATAGCCAATGCTGATTTCTTTCTCTTCCAATTTGATCTCGTTGTCTTTGATAAATTGCTTTAGATTATCAGGAAGAGATTCAGGATCTGTTCCAAATTCCTTATCTAGAAGCAGATGTTTCAAGGTTTTATCTCCTTCCACTGGAACAACATTCTTAATGGCAGGGATTTGGAGGAGCAAAGACTTGAATTGCCCTTGGAACTTCCCAATCAACTTCACAGGAACTGCTGCAGCTAGTATCTTAATCGTTGAATCAAAAATGGATTTGTCAAGAGTAGTTCTTGGAGCAGTACTTTCCATTGTAGTGGTTTTATATTTAATTTTATAATTTTCTTCATCCAATAAATTTACAGGAAAGAGGGGTTTTGGGGTTTTGGGGTTTTGGGG